ACTGTACTACCAGCTTGAGGTGTCTTTGACATTTAATGTGTGCATTGGGAGGCAGTAAGGGCGTGAAGCCCACCAGCCAGCTCCCTGCCCACAGCTTGCAAGTCAAAAAGCAGAGACCTCTAATTATATAAATATCACAAATGAGACTATTATATCTAGTCTGAGGGGTAGGGCTAAAGAATCAACATTTAAAACACTTTCTGGTCAATTTTGATACATATTTTAAATACTGACACCCCTTTCAGTGTTGCCAGATGTACGATAACTATCGTATTTGTACCATAATTTTACCCTCTGTACGATCAATAATTACAGAAAAGGCCAATTGTACGATAATTTGGCAATTTCAATGTCCCCTTAACAAAACCTTGTATGTGATTTGAGAGCAACCGATCCCATCAGCATGACTGAGACAGTCACCACATACGCACCATTCAGCACCTAACTGCTGCCAGGCTGTAACTGCTCATCACCTGATGCCCTGCTCACGCCTGTGGTTCGTTTTGCCATACGGACTGAAGAAAAACGCACGTTACACCAACTTAAGATTCTACCTCAGCTACACAGCAGCTGGAGGCGGAGAAGTTTGCAAACAATTAGCACTTAAAAGTTTGTTCTTTGTTTATTTATTTAAATTGATGTGGTGTGCAGGGCAAAGTTTTGCCATTCAGTGCGGTATTTAGGACCCGTCTCGTTTTTTTAAATACAGTATGTACAGTAATTTTAAAGCGGCAGTACGATATTGCTGTATTCTCCATCTGGCAACACTGTCCCTACTATCAAATGTTTTTCTTGTTGAACTCACTTTAGGGTGTCTGCAAATGAAAAACACAACTGAATAAACAATCTCTGGGTCCTCTCAATCAAGGAATGAGTTTTGGGTAACATCCTTGCCAGTTTTCTGATGCTTCACAGTATCAGTTTGTATCAGTGTTATTGTTAGTATTGTCCATTTTGTGACTGGTGCTAATGATGTTTGTCTGCAGGCTCGTCTGTCCTTGGAGCTGCAGAGGGACAGCCACATCAAACAGCAGCGACTCATCCAGGAGCGCTGGAAGAGAGAGGCTCGACGGGAGGCGACAAAAGCTCGACCTGGCCAGGTACAGCCCTCCAGCAGCCCCCAACTCCTAACCCAAACCAATACTGCAGGGCAGTCCCAGCCCCAGGGCTCCCCGGGCCTCCCCGCTGCAGAGCGTCCTGGAGACAGGGAGAGAGAGTACGACACCTTGCTCTACCAGCTTCAAACACGGCAGACTGGAGGCTACCAGCCAGTGACTCCACAGTGCCCCGGATCTAAGACCACCAAAGATGACAAAACTCGACTAGAGGAACAACAGACCACCATTGAGGACCTGCGGCGCCTGGTCGACCACCTGATGGATGAAAACCAGCGACTGGCAGCTGATAATGAGCGACTACAATCTGCAAACTCCCGGCTGAGATCTGAGGCAGCTGAGGCAGCAGACTTTGTGGAGCGGTCAGAGCTCTGGGTGCTCCCACAGGCAGGTGGAGCTATTGGAACAGGGGGTGGGCAGGAGAGGAAAAGCACAGGGAAGGGGAAGGAGATTGCAATCCCACAATTACCCCCGCTGGAGATGCCGGCTCAGGAGGATCTGTGTCTGGATGACCTGCCTCCTCTGGAGCTACCAGAGGACATCCAGAATGAATTAAAGGAGCTGCTGGACAGGGATAAACTGTGATAAGAGACATGTTTCTCACACACACACACACACACACACACACACACACACAAAGTTTGGCATTAAACCCACGTGCTGTCTGATCAGACCTCTTCTCAGGATTAAGGTGGACAGAAAACTCTCTGTAGTCTGTCTCACAGTGAGAATAAGAAAGGTGAATGTAAGTTAGATGCAGAGTAAGGGATGTGTCAGTAGCTGCTTTCACACATACATAGAACTCTTGAAAATATCCCAAGAATTTTTGAACCAACTGTTCTCAAACTTTTTCCTGCCATCCTAGTAACATTTTCCGGAGGGATGCGATGATATGTGAACACAGCAGGTAAAAGTCGGGACAATTCACCACGGGCGAGTGGGAGGTGATGATGACATTTACATCATGTGACAAGTAAGCGACCGGTGTGAATGTGGTGCATGTAATGAAGCTGCTTCATACCCGTTTCTGCGCTCCAGTATTTTTTCCCCCCCACTCTTTCTTAAATACTGTGAAAACATCCAATAACACATGGCATTTATATGAGGGTGAAACTTTCATCATAGCATCAAACTCGGCTTCCCCCCGTCCAACGACGCACGCTGCCCTGAATTTTTCCTGAATTTTTTAGGAGTTCGAAAGAGCTAGTCAGACGGTCTCACACACAGTCTTGAGAAGAGGTCTTATCAGATGGATAAAGCGTTGACATCAAAACCACTAATACAATCTCAAGATAAAGGGGTAGTTCACCCAAAGATACTGTAATCAGTGAGGGTGTTTGTCATTATCTGTCAGCATATTGTTAAAACAAAACAAACTCTTAAGAACATGATGTTTTAAGTGAGTGAATGTTTTGCCTTTAAAAAAATGGAGTTTGACAGAATCATTATAAAACTTGAAGAGCTTTCATCTTCCCCTGTTTCACTATTATCACTGAATTTCTGCATTTTAGGCTTTTTTTTTAATGACAGTTGAGCTCTTCATGGCAGCAGGGAGAAGGCAGAGAGGTACAGCTGACACAAGCAGCAAACAGCTGTGCTTTTTCTCCATACGTTGATCATCTGCACAATATATTGCATTTTCTGGACGTCATTTCAGTTGCTGACACACAACAGACGCAAAATGCTGGAGGAAACATTGTGTTAAAGGAGATCTTTTATGCTGATGTATATTTAAATTCTTACATATAAAGTTAGGATGTTGGATGTCCAGACTAAACCTCGGCCAAGTTTTTTTTTTTTAACACAACTAACATCTGCTCAGCTGTGATGCTCTCCTCTCGACATGTGCTGCAGAAGGTGTTAAAAAGACTTGTGAAGTATGTCATGTGAGATACTCTGCCGGACAAGCGACGCAACCACATCATTTTAAAATCACCCTAATCGTTGTTTTATGCATTTTTCTATTAAAAAAAACAAAAAACATGCATTTGTTTATGTTAAGGTTGTCAAAAATGTTGAAATTTTCAAAATCACATTTTCAAAATCATACAATCTGTCATTAAGATAACAGATTGTATTTGATTAAAATGCATGAAGTAGCAAAGTTTTGACAACCATCGTTTGGTCTTCTATTAGAAAAAGTTCCCAGCAACCTCACTGAGCTGGATGAACTGCTCCTTTATGGCATCACTAGAGGTGCAAGGTACTAACTTGAATGCCTTTTATCAATGTCACACACACACACACACACACAGATCAGGATCATGTACAGTGTGATTCGGTTACAGCTAAGATTGCTGTTGTTGAAGAAAAAACACACTGTTGGGTTTTTTAAATTTTCTTATTTAGCAAACTGAAATTAAAAGCTTCAATGATCGTTGGTGTGCAGTGATTTTTTTTTTGTGATCAGGTTTTTTCAAATGATGTGGCTGCCAATGAGACAATAAATAATCCCTCTGAGATTCTTGCAGAGCAGAGTTTTTGTGCAACGACAGCAACACACACCTACAGCGTGACGTCGGGACCTGAAAGTCGAGGTTCATTTGGATGTGAGCTGAAGCACAGACGGGGGATTGAGCCCTGCAGACATTTACGTTTGCATTGTCATTCTGCAAACCACGAGCTGGCAGAAGTCACTGGGAAGTTTGCTGTTTGTATTCTTGACAGATTTATTCATCTGAATTTTATTTTAAATAATTGCATTTTATTGTATAGGGATATGTATGACGCAAAGTAAAGCAATGCCACACACTGCAGCACATGTAGACTGAAGCTCATTTGGGGGGGCCTGTTAATTACAAAATGATCATCATGCTGGAAAGAAGACTTGAGACTAGAGATAAGACCATACATTTACAAAGTCCACTTCTACTGATTACAGGTCATATTCTGGTTTCTACTTTTTCCCTTCTTTTTTGCATCCAGTGGAGTCTCCCCCTGCTGGCCTTTTGAAAGAATGCAGGTTTATGGCACTTGTACTTCACTTTTGAAGAGGACATATTATCCCCCTTCTCCACATTTTCAAACAGTCCCCTGTGGTCTAAATGAAACATCTGTGCTGTGCTTTGGTCAAAATATAACACGAATCGGTGTGTGTGTCTCTTTAAATTCAATGAGCCCCACCCCTGAGTTTTCCAGGTAGACATCACTCCTTCACAAGGGAGAATAAAAATGACACTCAGGTTACCCAAATAAATGCACAAAAACACTGGAAGTGGATTTATCATAACATGTCCCCTTCAAAACAAGAGGTTACGACTCCTCACAGAGCCTCCCTCATACTAACCAGAAATGAATGGTGCCATGCGTAAATCTGTGCTCTCTGCTACTAGCAACAATTCCCACACAACATGATCGATACAAACTCAGATTAGGAAAGCACAAGCACTTTTCTAGTCTTCTTACTAATCTAGGATCTTTTACTCCGCAGGTCACATCTAAACATTAATATGTTGATGGCAGAGGTTTCGATGTAGAGTCCATCAAATTTAACTAATCCATTCATACAAACTCATCCACCAGTCGAAGCAACAGGAGCAATTTGGGGGTGTCTTGCTCAAGGACACATCGGACATGCTGCTGCAGGAGCTGGATATCAAATCCCCAAGCTTCCAGTTGAGAGACGACAGACTCTTACCACTGATCCATCATTTGATGGGCTGATTGTTCAGTGTATCTTGAGCTATTAGCTATTATTCAATGTTAATAAATCAGATAATACCACAAATCGGTTTAGTTCCTACAGGCCACCAGTAATTTAGTGAACTGATGTTGTGCCATGGATATAACTGACAAACCCTGAGACAAATGAAAAGGTTGAATCTGCTTTGTGTTCTGCCATCCTCGCTACATTCACAAAAAAAAAAAAAATGGAGACTTATAATGCAACAATCCAAAAACATACTCTTTTTTTATTGCCCTTACAACACTCAAACAGGATTTACTGTATTTTATTTATAATCCACACACACTCCAGACATTTCCCAACACAAATCCTAAACCCGCGCAGCCGCACAGCCATAAAGCTTTGGTATCATTAGTGAGTTATGAGCATTAAAAGGACTTCATGACATTAAAAAGATTTGGCTAGCACAGTAGAAAATCTGCCAATCTGTCACCAGTGACACTGATTTGTCCTCGTGTAGGAAACGTAAAGGTGTAATATGCGACTTTGGATCTGTTGATGATGTTACTTAAGCAACAGTCTCTCGGACCAAAGGGCACCACCTCCACTTGGTGGTGAGATGTTCAACATCTAATCACCAGAGCAGCACTGAGGACAAAAAAAACAAGCCAAACTTGAAAACGTCATGAGAGTCTGTTGGTATTAGCTGTGTGCTGCAACCTCCCAAAGCAAAGAACATAAAAAAAAAAAAAAAAAAAATGAGATGACACGCAACAACAGCATTGATAAAACGGTTTGGGAGGAGGAATATGTGCAAAAACAGGTGGTTACAATATAAAAGACTCCTTTTGATCTAAAGGTAATACACACAAACACCAAAAAGCAAAATAGTGTAAATTCTAATTTTCATTAGTGAAATTTACAACCAGGCGTATAACCTTATAAAATTAAAAGTATAAAGCAGGAAAATAAGAAATCCTCATTAATGAACGGGAGCTCTGGGTCTCTGTAAAGGCTGAAGGTCTCAAAACTAAAAGTTGAATCATTTTTTGCTTCCCTTTGAGTCTAGTCAGTCTCCCTCCTCCTTTATCTGCTGACTGGCTCACCTCCACGTCTGTGACATTAAAACTTCACTGTCTCATAAGGTTAACGGAGGATGTTGGCTTCCTGCTCTCCTTTCATGCTGTCACTTCTGTAACAGGGAATGTTGCATAGTGTCTTAACCTATATGTGCCGCTCAGCGTTAGAATCACCTCTATTAGTAGAGTGAAGAGGATCATTTTTTTAAAATACCTGAAAGGCAACAGACACAAAACTGGTTCCACGAGTTAATAAGGTGTTCTTTATAGAGTATAATCTTAAAAAGCTTTTGATGTTATTTGAAGATTTACATGTAAAATTATGTTATATACATGCTGAAACTTACATTCTATCAGATACATTTAGAAAAGATTTTGCAATTCAATATCTAATATTACACTCGCAGCTAGTCGCCAACTTCATGCTGTTTGTTTCTGAGCAGGTGGTGTGCAGTGGAGTTTAAAGACACATCAAGAGGGAGGTGAAACATTAAAACAACAATGAGCTGAAAGATAGAAGACAAGTCTGGAACATTAGCTCGGTTCAGTTTCAGGGGCTGCATCCTTCGTAGTGTGCTTTAGAAGATTGATTTCTCATAGAGGGGCATTGAAGACTGTGCTTCTTCCCAGCCAACGACGGATCCCTATCCAGAGCAACCTTTGGGACCCAACGTATCCTGACTCACTGCGTGCCAATCTAAAGGAGCTGGAAGCGGCAGACGATTACACTCAAAAGTGAGTAATTTGATATTACTCAATTGAATATCATCAAACTCTAATATCAAAAAGCAAAGGGGGACTTCTAATTATCTTAAAAATAATAAGTTTGTTGTTCACCAGTTCTGGAGCAGCTTTTTAAGATTGTTAAGCAACAGAGGCGCTTTGAAACCAAAATGGTGGTTGGTGGGGGTGGGGGGGCAGCTGGTTTCCCCTGTAGATCAGACTGTCTAATTACAGACTGGCTTGAGCGGTCTAAGAAGGCCACGAAGGCTGGATTCTTTGAAGGATGCTACTCCCTAAAATGAGACCCAGCCATAAGACTGGATAAAACATGGACGTTGTTTGTCATTCATTGGCTTCGCAGGGGCTTTTTTGGCCGACTGATCAGCCTAAAACTGTTTTTGTACCAGGCTGTAAATGTGTTTATTTCTGCTGTAAAAAAAAGGGCATTTTAATATTATTGCTAAGGGGACTTCCTTCCTTATTGGAGCCAGCCTCAAGTGGAAACTTGAGGAACTGCATTTTCCCATTGGCTTCCTTTTGTGGATAAGCCTTGTTTTGTTTTGTTTTGTTTTTTCAAAAACTTTTTAATTACATTTAAAAATTCATTACGGCTACTAGCAGTCCTCCAAAGGATTTGTAAATGATTCAACTATTTTTTATGTATTGAATGTATGAAGAGAATTCCAAGAATACCTTATTAGAAAGTGGTTCCCACACCTTGTAAGAAATAAAGCAAAATAACCTTAGTAGACAGATGGATCTAAAAACTCAAAAGACTACACATGTATAACTTCAAAAACTACAAATAATCTACAATGAAATACAGATTAAACAGGGTCCATCCAGAAGGTATTCTGTAAAACTAAAAGAAAAACATCTCCGTGTCAAATGTTCTCTTAGAGCCGATGGGTCCCTCGAGAGTTAATAGGTGTTTTCACACATGCACAAAACTCATAAAAATTTCCCAAAACTTCAAGGGCGAGCCGATGTGTCCATGCAGCAGGTTAATATTCTGTGAAATTGAAGTCGATTCAGCGGGTTTTGATGACGGCATTTATACGGCATGTGACTGCTGGGCAACCGGCATGATCTGTGGCCCATAATGAAGCTGCTTCTCATAATAATGTGATTCGCTAATTACACGTTGCATTGACATATAGGGCCAAAACTGTCGTCATACGATGGACTCTTTGGCTCTTTGGCTTTTAACAACCCCCACCTCCTGTCCAACAGTGAAGGTCTCCAGCTGTGAGATGCAAAGGCTGGAACATTTTAAAGGCAGCCTGTCCTGAAATCTTCTAGAAACATTTAGGGGGAACATGTGTGAAAACAGCTGTGAAGAGTCTCTGGTTTTGGAGAGAGAGAGCGTTCCAACAGAGTCGCTGGTTTCTGAGAGAGAACAGTTCCTACAGAGTCGCTGGTTTCTCTGATGGTCATCGTTTCTGAATGACGTCGGTAATAAATATGTAACAAGAAGAAAACTTGTCACCAAAGGGATAAGAGTTCAGCAGAAATTAAAAGACAAGAGTAAGGTTTGAACATAAGATGACAATACCATCTACCAATCAGCAGACAGCTCTGCTGTGTGTCTGTTATGTGTAATTATGTGTCAGCAGAAGTCTCTTCACAGTCCGTAGTTCACGGAGCTCAGGGCTGGTCTCTTCTTGCCTTTAATCTTCAGGGATCCATAACGAGCCTGAGGAACATAAAACAGTTAATACTGTGTTCATAAATCGTCCCTAAATTCCTTTTTCTCAATCTTTCCTTTTGTTTTTAGACATCACTTTTTATAACAGATCACTAAAACACAACAGCTTCCTTTCTTAAGGAGTCCTCAGTTCATTTGTTTTTTTAAGGATAATTAGAACAAAGTACAATCTGGGGGGAGATAAAGAGACTGCTTGTATTTTGACAGACAGATTAGATGCACGCCTTAAAGGCACATCCTCCAAAAGAACACTTACATCTTTGCGGACTCTGGACCGTGTGATCTTTACACTCTGTGATCGTCTCAGTCCTTTCTGAGTGACAGCCTCGTCTTCAGAGAAGATTGCCTCAGCGTCTTCATCCGTCCTCTCCTCTTGGTCGTAAAAGTACTCTGAAACAGAAAAACATGAATCATGAAACACTGGTGAGTCACACAGGCATGTGTTTGTTCTGTAAACTCGCCTGTATTTTCACAACCTACTGTGAAATGAGGGATGTGTGAGATCACCCACCTAAAGGATTAAATATCATCATCCACACTCGTCAGCACCAGAATTACTGAGTGGTTCAAATATTTATGGATGTTTGTATTAATTCAGGCCCACAATGCGGGTCAAATGTAATACAGCCACTCAGCACTATCTGGGGCTCTAGCTCAGGTTAATGAGCCCTCTCTCCCTCCTCTAAATCCCGGATATAAAAAACAGCACAGTGGACGGATGACACCTTTTAGTTAGGAGTAGTTTGGACATATTTTATTGAGCAAATGGAGATAAAGTAAGGCGAATCGAAGGCTGGCAGTGGTAATGTAATTGTTGTTTAGATGCTGTAATCCAGTGTTTAGTTTAGTTAAATAAATTGTAAATGGTAAATGGACTTGAGCTTGTATTTTTCTTTCCTTGTCTCCTGACTACTCAAAGTGCTTTTACACCTGAGGTCACACCTACACATTCACACACTGGTGGTAGAGGCTGCTGAGTAAAGAGACTAATCTAAGAAGAAACTAATCCCATTCATACACATTCCTACGCCTCCGTACATGCAGGAGCTGGGCATCTCTCAACCCTGACCTTCCGGTTGAGAGATGACTGACTCTACCAACTGAGCCACAGCTGCTCAGTTTTGGGGCACAGGTTTAGCTCAGTGGGTAGACCAGGTACACCACATACAGAGGCGACAGTCGTACTGGTTGCAGTTTTGACTCCCGAGCCTGACACGGTTTTGTGCAGGTCATTCCCTTTCTTCCTCTCTCTACAGCCGTCCTAACAAAGAAAATAATCATTAAGAAAAACAAACTACTTGTTTTTTTACTATTAACTGAGTGTTTTCTTGAGAGCTGTTGACAAGATGTGTTCTTTAGATGAATAAAAAAATCCAGTGATCCCAGTAAAGCACATACCTGAACCGAGTCTGTCTTATATATTTTTGTTACTATATCACAGGCAGACCCCTGATAAATATTAACACACAAAAGTCTAGTTACCATTTAAATTACAGCCCAAGCCCATGCTCACCAGTGATATGTAAAGTTCTTATTTGTATTGAGTCAAATTTAAACCAAAAAGCTGCACTGAGTACTCAAATGTTTTTATATTAAATTGAATTTTTTGGGAATTAAAAACAAAAAATCCTCGATATTGGGGGCCTAGGACTTGTATTTTTGTTGCCGTGGAAACTGCAACAACTGTGGATATAGTTTGATTTAAACCAACATGTACGGAAGTCTGTTGTGTTAACAGTGCAGTCCAGGACTTGTCCAGCAGAGGTCAGCAGATACTCAGCAACCAGCTACCTCCCAGTTTGTCTCTCCACATAGAAACACACCAGGTAGACACACTAGCTATCTACCTCAGGACACCCACTGCGTCAGAACAAGACGTCTCCCACTGCAGCCAAAGGACTCCATCCAAATGTACAGTACATTTGTTCCTGCAGGGCCAAGCTTAGACCATGTAGAGGACCTTCATCAGTGTCATTAAAAAGACAATAGCAATATGTTTTCTATTTGTTCTGATTCTAGCTCCTTCTCCTGCTGCTGCTATTGTTGTCACATCTGGAGTCTATAAGAGAAAACCTCCCACTCTCCAGAGTTGGACTCAACCTTTCTCCTCCCAGAGGAAACAGGGTGGGATGAGACAGAGGCCAGCTTCACATCAGTTTTCACATTCCACCACGGGATCAGAAATACCATTTGAATTCTGTATGCATTTTAAAAAGAGACAAGAACACTCAGAAGAGCTATAGTTTTGATGTCAAAAGTGATAAGAAAATTCAGCTCTGCTACTGAAACGGTCTAATTATCTGTGTCTGGAAACCAGGCGGTTTCAATGTCCCAGCCTGCTGGCTCACAGTCAATGCTGGTCAAAAAGGAAAGGAAAGAACATGCTCCCGAAATGAGCCAGAGAGGAATTTCATTCTTTTACCGAGCCAAGTTCTCTGTCTGGACTGTGGAGATCTCATTCAAGTCATTCCAGTCATTCCAGCTCTCACCGGTCTATGCTGCGGTATCACTCTCCAATTTCCTGTCATGTAGGGAGCAGAGGGCCAAAAGCAGAGACCTGGGGCGGCTTGTCCGACCAGGAGTTTTACAATCCTGGAATGTTTCTCCAAAGCTCAGTTTAGTACCTTCATGTCCTGGTTTGTCTGAACCTACTGGTAAGCTTCACTTTCACTCTCAGTGTCTGTGTGCCTGCTTGAAGCTCTGAAAAACTGCCACATTCATCCAGTTTTTACAACCTGAGTTTATGCAGCCTGCCAGTTTTTGTTCCCCTAAACAAAGATGGACTAAAAGGATTTTAGTTGTCGGATGGTTGGATCGTAACTTTTAAATTTGCTGTAAACTTGATGTTATAATGGACTACGTCTAGTACTGCTTGCTAGGTTTGTTGCAAACGGCAACCTCTGTTATTGGAAAAATGCATCCAATGTAGAAATGCAAAAACTGCAGTTCCTCAAGTGTCCACTTGAGGCTGGATGAAAAATCAGTTGAATCCCCATAGGGTGCCATATTAAGATGCCAACCTTGACTGCAGAAATAAATATGTTTATAGCCTGGTACAAAATACATTTCTTTACTAGTAAACACTGAACGGGGGCTGAATTAATTATTCATGTTTTGGTTTTATTTACCCTAATCATTATGTAGAAACTTGCTTAATGAGGGTTATAGTAGCTAAACTTAAAGCCACTGAGGGGCTCGTACAAAATGCCATCCGTCCACTGTGCTGGGTTAAAACTTGGCAGTAGAGAGGGAGCAGGCCCATTAAAGGAAGCTACAGCACCACCTAGGGGCGGATGGTTGTGTTACAGCTTACACACAACATTTATGTGTTGATGGATATATTCACTGATGGTTTGAGTCTGAACATGATATTCATTTTCATGTTTAAAAACCTTTGTTGCCTCAGCGTTGAGGACCTCCAGTAAAGCCACATGATGTCACGTGAGCATCACATGAAAGAGAGCTGTTGGAGGGTGAACACATCTCTCTTCTTCCCCCTCACCTGTCTGCCTCTCTGCTGGCTAACTGAGCTGAATACAGAATAACGTCTCTCCTCTCTCAGCATGCTAATGTTGTCTCCCAGCCCTCTTCTCTCTCTCTCTCTCTCCATCCATCTCCTCATCCATCCCTTATATCTCCACTCTGCTCCCATGAATTCATCAGTCCTTTTCTCCACTCCACCCCCTACTATCTCACTCTCCACGCTTCAATGACTGTGTGTGTATGTGTGGGTGTGTGTGTGTGTGTGCACATGTGGGTGGGTGAAAGAAGGACAGTGTGTGTTTGACATTCCACCAGCATCCCACCCAATCTCATCTCATCCTCTTTGTCTGCCAGAAAGTCATGTTGTTCTCACGCACACACGCACACACACGCACACACGCACGCACACACGCACACACACACACACAAATAGTTAATCGTGTGTGAGTGTGACATGTCGCTGGTGTTGCAGTGAAACTAACATCTTGACTGACAATGTGCAAAAAAACATAATTGGAGGGGCGCGCTGGTGGCGCAGTGGTTAGGGCGTGCGCCCCATGCATTGAGGCCGTCGTCTCGAGCGGTAGGCCCGGGTTCGCCTCCACCCGTGGCCCCTCCGCATGTCGTTCCCCACTCTCTCTCTCTCCCTGATTTCTGACTCTATCCACTGTCCTATCTCTGCATTAAAGGCACAAAAAGCCCAAAAATAAATCTTAACTTAAGTTTAGATGAAGGCTCTGGATTTCCAGTCCTTTGCCACTGGCTGTCTAGCTGCCTCATCAGATTCTCTAATGTGAGTAACACACACATGTTGTATTCCCTTTTAAGTGTAGCACACAATCATGCATAGGAAATGTTTGACTAAAAGAAATCTTATCAGCGTCTTTCAGGAAAGTTTCAATATGAATATCACAGGTAGTGTTCTCTCACCTGTCTTTAAACAAATGTGACAACTTATCAAACACCATCTACTGAGAAGCTCATGAGATCTGACTGAAAGTTCAAAAACTGTCCAATATATTTTATACATCTTGTTTCATCTTGTGCATTATGTGTTCTGTATATGGTAAATGGACTTGAGCCTGTAAAGCGCTTTTCTAGTCTTGTGACTACTCAAAGTGCTTTTACACCGCAGGTCACACCTCCATTAGTATTACCTAATCCCATTCACACACATTTAAACGCCGCCGATGAAGCAGTGGGAGCTGGGGCTGGGGATCGAACACCCAAACTTCTGGTTGAGAGACGACACACTCTACCACTGAGCCACACTCTTGTGTTTGTTCCTAATGACACATTTCAGAGTTGTTAAAACAGATCTTTAAATTCAGACTAGTAGAGGAGTCTAAAGGTGAGAAAACAGGGGAGGCGTTTCTTTGTCGTGATGCCTCTGCAGGTAAACCACGTCATATAAGTTTAATGTGAACGCTAGCAGTTTATGTTTTATACCAGTTTAACCTGACACCGCCTACATACAAATATTTCTCCATTCAAATTCTGTCAAACCGATCAGAACAATAAGATGCCTTCCATCTTTTTTGCTTGTTCACGTCAAAGCAAAGAGAGAAGGCCCATTATAAGACTACAGAACCTCCTAGTGGTGGGGGGCTGAATTACAGCTTGGACACAGCATTTAACTGTATTGTGGATCTATATTAATACAAATATGAATAATTAATTTAACCGACCAGTCATTTCTGGTGCTGACTAATGAAGGTGTCAACATTAAAAGATCATTCTTCTACTTATCAGACAGTGTCAAGTGTTTGTGTGCTCATGCGTGTGTGTACCAGCTTCGTCTGCGGCGTCACTGCTCTGAGCTCTCCTCATGGCGGGGTTGGCAGAGTGCGAGCTGTACTCGTAGAGCTGGTTTCCTCCTCTGAGGTCCTGCTGGCCTATCTGGGTGAGGTCGTGCATACTCAAGCTGCGCAGCTTCTCCGTGATGGCGCCCTGACCCTGTGACACACACAAAAACATCAGTTAATATTACATCACCAGAAAGAAAAAAGAAAAAAAAAAAACAGGCAAAACCATTCACGCCGATAAAGTAGGTGAGTGTCTGTTCAAAAAACAACTTAAACAACTCCCCCTCAGCATGTACAGATCAGGAAACAGCTGGTGTTTCCAGCTGAGTATCTGAGGGATGTGGACATGTGTTTTGGGGTGCCAGTTTATCTCAGTTGGTTGAGAGACCAATGCTATAATGACAAATGATGATATACGTTTAACTGGACGCATTCAAAGTACAAACCAAAGAGTGGAAAAGAACACAGGTGAGCAGAAAAAGTATGACGCTACTTTATAAACATCATCATCCCCTCCCACCCATAGCACATTTTCCTGAATATGTCCTGCTGCACTCACACATTGGTTCATCACAACTTCTTGGGGGAATTCTTATTATTTATTTTATATTATTTGTATATTTGGCTGCTTGTGTTTACACATGCAGCTAACTTGAAAAAAAAATGGGGGGAACTTTCAGGAGTTATGTGTACGTTTGAAAAAGTTTGATGGCTTCTCCGCTCTTTTGTCCATATTGTGATTCTGTCAAATTAAATATAGAATTGATATAAAGGCAAATATTGTCTCAGGGGAACCCCAGCTCTCCCTCCTGTCTGATGGGGATATTCTCCCGCTGTGAGGTGCATGTGTGAACAACCAGGATTAGAGGATTTTGCGGTCAGTCTTCCTGCAATTCTTTAGAGTGCAAATGTGAAAACGGCTTAAATGCTGAATTTACACTCATAGTGACCATGTTGTTATATCAGCCTATGTTGTCCTGCCAATGTTATGATATTAAAGGCAAGGCAGGGTTAGTAATTTTAGAAAAATAGCATGATTTTGAAAGTAGCATTCCCTCAGTGCTCCGTCTACACCCTCCCCTCCGTGCTCCCTCTAAAGCCACACCCCTCAATTACATGAACGAGCACCATTGGTTCAGAAGAGGCTTTGAGTGTGGGCTAGTGCACGCATGTGGTAGAGAGCGAGCAGGGAGACAGGGAGGCGCTGATTGGTTCATCAGATTGGTACCTCGTGGCAGACATTGGTTGAAGTTTTTACAGACTTACAACTGATACAGATGACAGATTTTCTTTGTTTTCTTTTTCAGAGAACATGAGTTATTAATTTCAACCAAAATCTGAAAAAGTGGATCTGGAGAAAATGACCAACCCTGCCTTTAAATAGGCAATGCTGTGGTAATTACATAACTTTTTAGTCATTATTATGTAACCACTTTATCTACTTATATTAGTTTAATAAAGCTCCAACATTTAAAAAATGACTCGTCCAGCTGTCTCAAAACACTCAAGTAGCTTGTACAGCTTCCTGCCACACAGATTTTTAACCAGATGAAAAGAGTCTATAGCATGAAACAAAGTGTAAGTGCTGTCTAACCACAGATTGACGGTGGTTTCACAGATGGAGTCGTAGTGACAGGGGTAACTGTTTGTCTCCGAGCTGGCGGTTTATCAGATGTGTCAGAGTTTTCTTACACTGTCGAGCTGCTCTGTCATTACTCAGGCACATGTAGAGGAGACAGATGGCTGTCCCATGCTAAACAACTTAATCAACGTGTAGAGAAATGTATTTTGTTAAATTAATCCGACCTAGAAAATAATCAATGATGACAAGACACAAAAAACTCTACTATGATGAAGACAGCGTCATGGAAAGCATTCACAATGAACAAAAGGATAAAGGGAGAAGAGAAAGAAGAAAGAAAGAAAGAAAGAATAAAAACAGGAAAACTTGTTACAGTGAAAGGAATTATTGAAACACTCGGGAGTATACTCACTGATAAAAAGAGGGACAGGCTGTAAATGTTGAGTTAAAAATCTTTGTACATACTGTTGATTCTTTATACACTAAGAACATGACAGTAAAAAAAAAAAGGAGGATTAAAAGATGGAAATAACCAGATGTTGTTTTCAGCCACCAAATTCTGGTAAAAAGAACATCCACACTTGAAAATGAAAAGGGTGTGAACATGGTGTGAACGGAGAATAAACCATGTATGAAATGGAAACGATTTGTCCATGCAGCGTTCACTGACTGTTTTTTTTTTTTTACCTCCCAGAGCAGCCCGCTGAAGCACAGAAACCCTGAAGGAAGAAGGATGTGAGTACAGAGAGGGAGAGAGAAAGAGAAACAAAGTCACAAGAGAGTTAGCAAGCGAGCTAGAAAGGCAGATCCTCATATCATCATCTGGACATAATTAATACATCCATCATAGGAAGAGATTGTCACCTCTGGTTTACAGTTTATCAACTTAGCAAAAACTTGTACAGGACAACTTGATAATGGGTAAATTATTTAATTATGGTGGTAAGAGAGTCAACCATAGCTCACTCTCCTGTCAAGAGCTAAGCATGCTAATGATTTTGTTAACGATCAGAAGTATTGAAAAGTACTGAAGCTTTATAAAAACTTCAGATATTCAGTCATATTTAAAAGCTGCCATTAGAGAGGTAGAGAGAGAGAGTGCTGTTGTAATTGCACAAATACTGTGTGACATAGCGTTGGATTAACAACGTCTTCATTACAAATAACGACCCAAATTTTCGATACCAATAAGATTTGTTTAATGAAAAAATTGTGCACTTTGGACCACGGATGATAGACATCATTTCAAATACTGCTTCATAGTTTTCTTCTATAAATGTGCCTGTCACCTGGTGAAGGTGTTGAACAGAGAGGATGTAGCTCTAGTACAGTGGTCTCTAACCATACTTCTTTGGAGCTTGTATCTAACAAGCTGTAAATACGTACATGTTGAAATCAGTAATTTGGAGACCGAGGGCTGCTTGGATGTTTAGATTGATGTCCAAACTCTGCATATGGACTGGTCATGTAATTGAAGAAAGCAGTAAGAACAGAAATGCTTCTTCATACCTGTGGAGGCTTTACAGATGCAATTTAAATCAGCCTCGGGCTACATGCACATCAATATGCATGTATGCTGCATGCATAATATAAGAAGGTGCATATAGTAGCTTGAAATGAGTGGCTCTCAGGAGTTTGCAACTCGATAAAAAAAAGAAATCACATAAAATCACTAGGAACCCCTCATTCAAATTCTAATACACATTTATAAACCAACCCAGTGTGTCTTCTGTGAGCCGTGTATTTCCATCTTTCAGAAAGGTTCAGAAAGATGGATTTCATGTATGATAAAGCTGCTTTTATATTGTACAATCTGAGGTCCGTCAAATTCCAATTAAGAACACATGAAGCTTTAACAGGATTTGAGATAGCACAGTGAACAGTGACCTGAAACAGAGACGGGAAAATGCAAAGGGGGGAGAAGAGAAAAACTGTGGAGATGTGGAGAGGACAAGTATATAAAGGGAATAGAGGACACAAGGAGGTGGAGAACAGATCAATTAAAAGAGAAACAGTTTGGTGGAGAGAGAGGCTCTGAAGCTGTTAGCCAAACATTCTCTAGTTCACCATTCACCCTTGGCATTGATCCTTGGATCCACAGAAACCTTTTAGAAAATATTTAGAGCTGTAGTCATACATTTTTTCTGTTTCTTTAAGAAGGTACTAAATGTACTTTTTTTTTTTTTTAAGAGCACAGAACTGTGGCTGTATTTGAGGTCCAACACAAACTAATTGAATTGAAGAGTAGGAGTTCATTTGAAAGTGTAATTGAGGACGCTAGTAATGAGAGCAAATAGAATTTCCTGTCCTGTGGCATTTCACCAACTCCTGCTCTTTCCCAATACGTCCAGTTGGCTCCAGACTGACTGAGTTTTCATTCACACTCGTTCCTCTGCTGTGCTTTGGTTTTGAAGTATCTCATTCATGGCAATAACAAAACTAATGTACATTTATTTATTTATAATGACTATTTAGACAAAAGACCCTGGTTGTGGAGACCTGGATTTAAGGTCCAGGTCATAAAGGAAGACATGGACGTAGCCTCTGTTTTCAAAAGTTAAGCCAATCAGAAGCATCTTGAAGCTGTATCATTACTAAAGTTCTCCACAGTATATAAGTGTAGAAACTGATAAAAAAAACATTTATATGTATGAATGATTAGTCATTTGTTCATTGATAAACTGCCAATCTAGGAACCCGTCTGTATTGGCTGACGATAACTTAAGCCTCTGGGCGTACCAACTACTCGTTTATTACCATGTAGCCAGCAGTTAGCTCTAACAGACTTCCAGCCAAGACTTTGGTACCAATGGATTTAAAAAAAACACTGTTTTAATACTAAAAGCTTGAGCTGCAATGATGGACACAATAAAATATATCCATGCTGCTGGGTATTTGTCTGATTACAGTACCTATGTTATTGTAGCAGTCTTCAAATTGACATAGGAACTGAGACATCAAGTACGGCTGGATAAAGAAGCTGTGAACGCCTGCAGCTGATTCAGACGGCTTTTCTTTTATTTAAGCTTTATTTTGGGATTTTGCCTTTGTTTAGATAGGACAGTGTATAGAGAAGGACACAGAGAGAGAGACAGAGTGGGGAATGACATGTGGGCAAGGAGCCACAGGTTAAGATTTGAACCCAGGTGGCCAGTTTGGAGGAATACAGCCTCCACATATGGGGCGGTACTTAATCAATAAGACGTCTAATAAGTCAAGGTATTAGAATTTGATTAAACTCCAAGAGAAAAACGTCATTATGGATCTTCATTCTCCTTTTAAAAAATAGTTTAAAATATTAAAACAATGACTCAAGAATCCAAAGTCAGGATCAAACACATGCTAGACTGCTTCTGCTGTGAATGTGGGTCTAGTAACTTGACTTTCTGTCAAGTGGTAGACTCCCACTGCTTGGGATTACCTCAGTGCGGTGAAGCCTTCGGCAGGAGGTCAGCGGGGATTAACTGATACTCTCAGGTATTCACGCAATGCTGATGAAACCAGTTCACACACACTTCATTTATCAGACTCTGCAGTGAGTTAGAGCTCGGAGGCACACTCTCTGTGGATGTGTTTGCATGAGCACAATCTTTTTAAATATTCACTCTCCTCCTTTAGTTTGAGTTTACAGGTTTTTCTGGACTAGCTATAGCATATTGTACATTCTCCTGCATACCACTATTCTGTCTCTGATGTCTGACTGAGCAGGAGAAAAGCCTGAGCCAACACGGGAGTTAGAACAAAACTATCTGCTGGATTGCTTTGCTGTGTACAACAGGTAGAGGGCACTGTTGTATTTAAGGGCGCTCAAGCTTTCAGTGTCTTACAAGCTCTGCAAGAAAACAAAAAAATGTCTGAAAATATTTATCCGCTTGAGAAAAGCAAACAAAGTTAAAAAAAAAACTAAAAAACCCCGAAACAATAGAGTTCATGGTAGAGAGGTTAGGTTTGGGGTGAAACTGCCTCAGTAATGTAGTTCTACTTAAGAGTTTCACAGTAAAATAACCAAAGATTGAAATAAATACATCAATAAGACTATATCATTCAGAATCTTTGTAATAAGACTCAGTGGCTTGCCTTGACAGCTGCAGTGACAGCAGCAGTGGCTGCGATGCTCAGACCCTGTTTTCCAAAGTTGACCATGGTCTCATAGCTTCTTTCTCTCGCCTGCACGATGTACTCGTCTATTTCCTGCAGAGAGACAATCACATGAGTATAATCAATTAGTGTAAATATATTTTCATCACACACTACAAAAAAAAAATGTATGGACGGGTGGATGATCTTACCCTCTCTCTGGACGAGAGCAGAGGGTGCAGACACTTTCTGTAAATGAGACTCGCTCCTCGTGTGTAGGGGGACAGCAGCCAGATCACCACGGCTATCTTTAGCTCATAGTACAGAGGAAACCTGGAAATGAAAACACACACACAAGCACACAGATTGTCACAGCACCCTTTGTGTGGTGTCATTTTGATTTGTGAGCTGTGTGTCATTTCAGGGGAGCATCCTTCGAAGGACCAAGTCTACGAAGAACCCAGCCTTTGTAGACAGGGATCTTGCAATAGACAGGGGGGGGGGGGGGAGGACACATTTGTCAGCCACATTTGAAGGTTTCAAAATGAGACATCCTTCAATAGGCCAATGTGATCTGTCTTGAAATGTCCTCCAGAGCAATACCGCCCCCAAATTGGAATACAGCAAAGGCTGTATGAGAAAATGGACAACATAAAACTTCCCTCAAAGTGAAACCAAAGATATAGAGCGCCCCCTGCTGACTTTAAAGTTAGAATACATGTCATATTCTGTTGTGCTATGCTGATTTGTTTTCAACTCATCTTTTAATCTGAAAAGTTTCTTTTGAATTCGCTATTTGATGCTACTATGATTGGCAGCTCTGTTGACAAATGGGGCTCCTGCAGTGTGCACCAGGTTATCAGAGTAGAGGAGGAACAGTGAGAGGACTGAATGAACATTCACACAAGAGTCAGTGAACTTTCCATAACCACGAGTGTCTGCTTCAAACCGACACAAGAATCTGTTCTGCTGTTGACCGTATCTACTGAGGGATCTTTGATGTTTAATGAGTGCTTTGGTTAGTGAAATAGTGTGAGGTCAATACCTAGCTCTTCCAGCCATTCGGCTTCTTTGACTCTGACTCCAAATTAGCAGTATGTCAGCGCCCGTTGCAGAGGGTATTTTAGCTTCATCTTTGTAAATGGACTTGAGCTTGTATAGCGCTTTCTAGTCTTCTGACTAATCAAACCGCTTTGATACCGCATGTCACACCTACACATTCACACGCTGATGGCAGTTGCTGTGTGTGTGTAAGAGTCCATCAGTAGTAACTAATCCAATTTATACACATGCATACGCCGCAGACGAAGCAGCGAGATCAATTCAGGGTTAAGTGTCTTGCCAAAGGACACATCGGACATTAGCTGCAGGTCAGGAGCTGGTAACCCTCCGATTGAGAGACGACCGACTCTACCAACTGAGCCACAGCCGCCCCGTTCGTAAAACAGAAGAAAGTGGAGACACAACATCAAACTTTCTATACAGTCAATGTTTGACAAGCCGTTTACTCAACGGCTACTTTGTCGTTAGCGATATCGTAGTTTCCACTCTAAAAATAGCCCCTTTGTCAAAGTTCCTTTTTCCCCATGCTCTGTTTCATATGACATGACAATTCAGGCAGTGAGTAAAAGACAATGATAAAGTGAGAGATTGGTGTGTGCATTTTGTTTGTCGAGGTGTTGACTGAGAACTGTAAGAGGATTGTGTATAACTCACCATGCCAGTGTTAGATCAGTGATGGTCTCCAGTACAGTGTAAAGTGCGAACACAATCCAGTACATCATCCATCGCACCTACACAGAACACACAAACAGAAAGACCGTTGAACGCCAGACAAATGTACAGGGAACTCATGTGTGCCGATATACCACCAAAAGATTTACATGAAGGTTCACAGGTTTAAACTTCAGAAAAAAACAAAAATGTTAGTATTATAATAACATCAACAATGGAAACATGCTGCCAATGAAAAAAACTAAAACTAAAACATTTGCAGCAAACAAGTCAGTAATATATGATGAAAAACAGACAACACAAAAGACAAATGCTGCATAACCTGTTATTACAACAAATGCTGTCAGACTATTAGGTACACCACAGGGACTGTGTGGGTATAAAGCTGTTTTAGTTGAGGACTAGAGAAAAGAATAACAAACTGCTTATTTGGATGTCACGTAAGTGTCTTTAGATCATGGTGTCAATTTATGTGCAATGTTAAGCTACGAGTTAACCAAAGCATGCTAACATTAGCATGCTAACACAACAATGCAGGACACAGGCAATTGGGGAGCCAAAGGACAATTTTGTCCACCGCTTGAGCTTAACAGTGCTGAATTATGGTGCGTTCTAATTCATAACTCCTTCGTGCGGACACGAGTGGAGGGAGGTTGGAGGTGTGCCGCTTGAGGAGGTCGCCAAACAGCAGTTTGTTTTAGTTTAATGCTGGTGCTCAAGGGCGACATCTACTGGATCAAATAGTTGCATATGCTTCCTTTAAAGGAAACAACAATGCAAAAATAAAGAGACTGAAACTGATATTTTGAAATCACTGGCTACACAGGACACCAAGCTTCTTATTTTGGTGGTCAAATTACATTTTTTCAGCTGAGCTATGCTCCGTTTACACCAAAGAAGGGTTGTCACGTTTCCATTTCTTTTAAAACCTTGATGTATTTTAGTTCAAGTCATATTATACCTTGATACCCGTTCCAAAACAACAGAAACAATCATACAAGTCCTGGGCCCACAATAATGGGTAATGTCTTGATTTTAATTACCAAAAATGCAGACAACAAAAAATGCATCAGCAATGTAGCCAAGATGTTTAAAATATGATTGAAGGGAGCGCTGAAGCGTAGTAGTTGGGTCGCATCCATTGTACAGAGGCTATAGTCCTCTGTACCAGGGTCCGTTTTTTTTTTTTTTTTTTTTTTCCACAATCACATTAAGAAGAGAATCTGGATGTTTTTTTTTATAAGCCAGGCAGTATAGTTCCTCATCTACATATGAATGAGATGGGATGTAAACTTTGACCCAAAAATCTATGCATGGATTAAAACAATACAAATTTAAAATTTCTGTGAGTGAGACATCTTGAGGTTTGTGTTCTTCTTCACTTTTCTTTTCACCGTTTTGGAGGTGAGAAGTATTGAAGGGCAAACAGAGGTGTTTCTCTCTGATTTTCCTCTCTTTGCTTTTATGCTGTCTGCTGCCCTTCCTGCTCTCTTGCTCTCTCCGTCCCTTCTTAAGAGCTTTCCAGGCTCTTCTGGCTGGATTTCCATATCAAAGCCAGCGGTAGACAGTGGCAGGCGGGCAGACAGTCACATGGCAGGCTGAGGTATTAGTGAGACCCAGCCGCTGCCGCATGACTGAACACACACTGACACTAGCTAATGAAATGTCAGTGTGTATGTGTTTGGAGGGATGGATGGAGGAGAGAGGGAGAAGTCTGTGTATGAAAGATGGAGGACAAGAGAAAGGGACACAAACACACACCTGTCTCACAAGCATAAACTCTGAATAAAAAAAAAACCACACACACCAGCCGCAAGTACAGTGCTCAAGTAGATAGTCACTGAACACGCATACACACACACACACACACACACACACACACACACACACACAAAACCATCCACCATTGCTGCAGGGCTGGTTAATTGGTGACCTCATAGTGAACTCCATCCGCACTCTCACACACAGAGAGGCTCATGGGAATGATAAATGTGAGGGAGAGAGAGTGGAACACAAAGGCAGTGAGATGGAGAGACGTCTAGTCTCAGTCCACCTCTACCTCTCTGTACCACTCCTTTCATCTCCCACTTCTTTCTCCCTCTAACAGCCTTTTGCCGCTCTTTGCCTGCCTCCATCTCATCAGCAGTGAGGACATTAAGATGTGACCTCAGTAAAATATACAGCAGCCATTTTGCCTTCCTGAGGCAATAGCAGACATTTACTGGACACGTCCGTGAGTAACGGCCTTCCATTAAAGAGAAGACAAAAACACCTGACATCAGCTCTTTACAGCCACTGGGCCCCAGTGGTTCTGCTAAACCTGGTAGACAAGAGCAGGAAGACAGAGCTGGGCAGCAGCAGTGGAGACATGAAACAATAGTTGTCCAAATTTACAATACTGAGATGCCTTTTGATTCACCTTGTTTAAAAAAGATACAGTCTTTGATATTTTAATTAACAATCGTATCGAAAACAGTAAAAGGAATACCCAAAACTGCTGCAAAAGAATGAACAGGAGAGCAGTGAGGGTCCGATCAATTTCAAAGGTTGGCAAAAACTGAGGTTTTTTGAAAGTACTTTTGAAGCCTCTTAAAGATGCAAAAGTTACATTTCTGTCTACACAGAGCAGAGAAGGTGACACTGTCTGAATTTAACAAATACATGGGAGAGATTTAGACAGTGTGCAGGAGTTTGCTCGCAATTTTTAGTAACCAAACACAACAAATCACCCAAAATTGGTTGTATTCTGTTTTTGTGTCATGTTATCGAACCAGGTATCAACATAATTGGATTTTTTCTAGTAGCGAATCAAAATTGGTATTGTGACAATCCTCCAACGCTGAAAAAGAATCAGTTTAGGCTTTGTTCTGATAGTCTTTCAGAGTTTCTAATTTTCTCAATATCACTTTAAACGGGTTGATTTGGATGTTTTCTTTTTCGATAGCCTACTCACTCTGGGACATATGAAACTTTGCAGCCAATAAAAACATTTAAATATGAATGAGTCAATATTCTCATGTTACAAACCTGAATCCAGTATGTAAGAGCTAGCTAGACAGTTTGCAACCCATGCTAGCAAACAAATATCCCTGGCCTTCTCATAACTTCATGACATACACCACTTCACAGACATACAGTATATTTAATCACATTTTTACTCTGGACAAAAAAAGGCTGGCAAGTCCTTAAGAAATAAAAAGAGACCTCTAAAGTCATTTTCAAACATGCACTCCTTGACATGTTTCTCTGTCGGACAGGAAGGGGAGGAGTCTCCGGAGGAAAGACAAGACGTAAAAATATAACAGCTTACACTAACTTTACAGGGAAATTTAACTGTCGGGCTGGAAGAAAAAAAGTTGGGTTGAAAAAGCTGCAGGTGAGTTTTGTGCATGTGTAAAAAAAAAAAAAAAAGACTATCACATTTCTGTGTTCGGACGTCTTTACTTGCGGGACATTGTTTCCCTGTGGGGAATGAGATGTTGTGCAGTTGTTTCTGTAATGTTGAACCTTCATCCTCACAGCAGCCTGGATAAAGTCCAGAACACACAGGGACAGCGGACACATATAAGGACGTGTTTATACTCCAGCTGGGTGTGTTTATACAAACATGTTGGACAGATGACTGAATTTCCATCAGGCAGATACTCTGTGGCAGAGTGAAATGCAGACATTAAATTATTAGGAGGGTCATGATTCAAAACTATTTAAGCATTTTCATGCACTGACAGCTCTGACAGTGAATACATTGTGTAGTGTACAGTGAGTAGATTTGTTGCGGGTCACAACAGCAAATTTCAACTCAATGCAACAAATGAAGGTTTACGAATGTTGTTTAATCTAATTCAGACACTTAAGATTCTATTTTAAAATGTAGGATTCAGGATCATTTTTGGAAATATATACAGTACATCCTGTATGTGTGTGCATCAGTGTTTCAACTTCACCGTGAACAGTTTGCAAGGCTTAAGTTGATCATATTCTCAGTTAAACACATGAGAGTATTGCACCGTTCGCTCACTAGGAACAGGATATAAACATCCTTTTGGAATGATTCGTGCTGATTTCACCCATAAGCTCACCCTAACTTCACTCTGAACTTTGATTTGAGGACTTGAAAGAGTCTGGGTAAGGTTTGGGTTACACATGTAGCTCACATCACAAAAATGTGTGCATGTGTGAAGATACTCATTGTTGCAGTCAAGTTGCAGGTGACTTCCATCAGATATTATTCATGTTGCAGGGAAAGGGAAATGTTAAAAAAAATCCAATATCCTTAAAAACAAAACGGGGGAAGAGTAGGCCTCATGACACAGCAAAGATCAAACCACAATCCTTCACTGGAGAGACGAAATACCAAAGAACATCTCCCTCTCCCCCCTGTGTCTATCTGCAGAGCATGTGATTGTCAGTAGTCTCTTCTCATTAGAGCAGAATAGACAGGTGCATGAGTGGTAGAGAGAGGGGGGATAGCCCAAATGCCCCCAAATTGACCCTGGATGAAATTCTTCTCTTTGATGGATTAAAAAAAAAAAGGTAACACTGACCTTTAACCACCAATTTATGCGCGTGTGGAACAGGACGTCCCTGCTACAGTTAAATACATTTTCTCCAGACATACCTTAAGCTATGTTACAAGAAAGAGATTGCAACAATGGCATGTAGTGTCTATTCCTCGCCCTCCAGTCAGCGATAAAATAAATTGATTTAACTTTACAAAGTCGTACAATTACAGCAACAAAGAAACTGACCTGAGAATCAGTTTGAGCAGAGATCAAGCAGCAGGAGCAGATAGAGGAAGATAAAGAGAAAAGAAGTTCAAAGCTAACTAACTCACTGGACTAGGATTTCAGACTCAGTCACATTAGTTACATCACCCAGCTCCTGAAAGAAAACCCATCCAGGCCCTTACATCTATATGCATGTTAAGACACCCATCCCAATGCAGTGCGTCAGCTCAACTCACGTGCTGTGACTTCAATCAATGATCAAGAAAAAAAAAAAAACATACAGTGTTTTTAAAAACACAAAAGGAGCAGATATATTAAGAACCTGAATCCACGTTAAATGTTTTACTTGAAGGAAATAGTTTGCAAATATTTCCATTGCAGTAGTTTCAGGGCATGAATACCTTCATTAAAATGCAGCACAAAAACACACAAATTATATCTCATAGGCTGCAAAAGAGCTCTACTACAGGAGATCGTCATCATCGACACACTGAGACGGCTTAGAAAAATGAGAGGCAGCTTACTTTCACATGCAAGAGCTTGTCCCTGAACTGTAATACAGTTCAGACACATCCACACCCACACATACACACTATTTCATTTTACCAAGGTTTTCCTTGCCAACCCACTGAGTGCACATACAGATTAAATGTAGCTGCCCGGCAGGGCCATAAACATACTGGCCAACCTCTTATGCTGGATCTATCACAACACTTTATGCATATAGACATTAACAACATGCTTCTGTACAAAACGAAAGGCCTTGTTGAGTCCACTATTAATAATATTTCATACAGTTCAAACAACTTTATTAATCACTCTAGGGACAATTAATCCAGAGCAGTTTATAAGCTACAAAAAACACATAAGAACACAAGGATGTACAGACAACAACAAATGATACACAAGATATATATTATAGTGATAAACTAAAGATCCAAGATGGGACCGATCCGATTTAATATCTGTATCAAATCAGATATTATTGATACCGGTATCTGATTTCAGACTTACATTGCCAATCTACATCACCGGTCAAGAAAGATCTTTAGGCACTTTAAACATCCTCAGCTCGCTTTGAAGACATTCAGACTGAACTGCAAGGTCCCACAAATCGTCTCCATGACGACATTCAGACGAGATGGAGCAGCTCCTTCTATCTGATCAAAAGTACAATTCTTGAACTTTAGCTTAAACGATTTAATTTATAAAACCTTACAGTTGCTGCTCCCTGTTTGTACGTGAAGCCAGCACAAAGTTCACATTAATTTATTTTCTATTTGATGTTTTTGCTCTTGGAATAGGAAATGCAATACCTGGTTTGCTATAGCCTCGTGTAACCTAAGACATAATTCCAACAACAACAATTATTATTTTAATTATGATTAAAAAAATATTGATATCAGTGCTTATCTGAATGGAATCACAACTGGAACAAAAAGTGAATCGGAGCATCTCCTCTAAAGATGTCAACATTTTCAATACTTTTTGACACCACTTGTTTTAAAACGATACAAAACTACAGAATGTTTAAAAAAAATTTGCTTTAGGATTGTTTTCTGACCCAGGACCAGCGGAAACTCATACAGCTATACAGACTCACACATTGTCTCTTCAGTTGATTTAATGTTCTCGTAACTCAAGTTGCTGATATAAACTTTCCATCCACAACACACTTTGGTGGATGCAACAGTGGGATTTATAGTTTTATATACAGATACAGAATTTGATGATCGATAGCATCAGAAAGAAATAACCTAAAAAGTAACTACAGATTATTGGCAATGTTATGGTACCAAAACAATGCTAATATGTTCCAATTTAGAAGGTGTGCAGGAGTTAACTTGCAATTTGGCAGTTAAAAACTAGACATTAAACAAATTTGGATGCCTAGGACTCGAATTGAGCTCCTGTGGTATTAAATCAGGTATTGGTTTAGTTTAGAAGGTTGCCACTTCTTGGTGAATGATATATGTCATCTCTAAATCAATGGGTTAATAGGAGGGAGATGTAAGTTTAATATTTGAAAATTGTGATTTTCTACTCCACGTTGGGAGAAATGCAAAAGGTATTGCAGCAGCCCAGGGTTTATTCTCCAATACTTGTGTGAGTTAATCAAGTCAGTGTTAGGGTTGATCTCCATGTGTGTGTTGTTAAGTGTAAATGCAGTGAGTGATGTTCATAAACTTACATATTCCTTGACGTTTTTGGTCTTGACAGCTTTGTAAGAGTTGTATGCAGGATACAGAGTCCCGAACACCAGCCTGCAGGGAGAGCACACAAGAGACATGTTAAATAAACACTTTAAGCTACTCAATTATTATTTTATGCAAACTTGGAAACAAACACAGAACTAACAGTGCTGGTCTGATGTGTACGATGTATTACTGTTAAGTCTCTGACACACCAAGCAGACGGCAAAGAACTAGTGGCGACGAAAACCAACTGTGGCGTCGCCTCACGTCGCCTTTTGTCTTGGACAATAAGTTGCACCCACCCCCTCCCCTTTTGTGCACCCTCACTTACATGCACAAGCGCTGTTGTTCCACAAGTGGACTTCAGCTCACGCTTTGAGTGTGGGCTAGTGCACGCATGAGAGCGAGCAGGGAGACAGGGAGGCGCCTGATTGGTTCATCAGATTGGTACCTCGTGGCAGACATTGGTGAAAGTTTTTACAGGCTTACAACTGATACAGATGACGGATTTTCATTGTTGATTTTTCAGAGTATTCAGAGAATAACATGAGTTATTAATGTCTGTCAGGACCTAAAGACAATTTCAACCAGAATCTGAAAAAAATGTATCTGGAGGAAATTACCAACCCTGACTTAACTTGTCAAATTTGGATAACTTTCGATACCACAGGTTTTGAAACAGCCAGACTCAATTATTCTAATGATTAATAGTATTGACTTCAGAACTTCAGAAAAACTTCAGATCTTCTGTTGTTTTTCACAGACAGCTGCCACGTGTGAAAGAGAGAGACAGTACTGAAATGTTGCTACAGTATTCAGTGTTTTCCGCCCCCCTAATATGGTCACCTGGTCACCTGGTACCTGGTACGGTGAAAACCCTCATTTGAGCTTCTATAGACTTATTTAAAGTAGAAATGGATATCATAATAACCATTCACCTTCACCTCATCTCTATACTCACATGCGGGATATTTCACAACTACGAATAAAGCACCGACCACCTACAACACAGCAAGACTAAAAGTAACTGTTCAACATCTACTGACATCAATGGAGCTCTTTTTTTTTTATCCTGACTCGCTCGGGGGATGAACGCACAAACAATAGAATGAATATCCACACCCTCGCTCACAGACACACACAGTAACAAGGGCAGTTTGTCCAACCTCTCTGCTCTCAGCTGCACCCCATATATTCTTCTGACAGAACTGTGTGTGTGTGTGTGTGTGTGTGTGTGTGTGTGTGTGTGTGTGTGTGTGTGTGAGAGAGGAGTGAGCAAGAAAAACGACTAGATGAATTTATAGCCTGACACTCCTTCCCTCCATTCCCACTCTCTAGCATTCTCCTTCTTCTTCCTTCTTCTTCCTCCTCCTCCTCCTCCTCCTCCTCCTCCTCCTCCTCCCCCTCCCCCCGCACGTCGCCAGCACAGTTTGTTCTTTGCAGATCTGCCTAGTATGCATGCTGGATCTGGATCTGTTCAGCTGGACTACAGTCTGACTGCATACCAGGGCTTCACTGCTGCGACGAACTGCTGCATTTCAAGAGCTTTCCCCACATTCAATCACAAATCAGAATCACTAAACAACCCACACACAAAATGTTGGAGTTGTGTGAATTTGTTCTTTTCATTGGGGGGGGAGAAGTTGTTATTAACATATTCTCCTGTCATCATCATACAATCCTGCTCCACCTGGATGCATTACAAGCAAATAATGTCAAATGTGGACTAGTTTTTAGTTTGCCTCCAATTCAAGATTGGGTTGTCAAAGAACCAGATTTATAAACTAAGATATGAAAACTTAAATGTTCATAACACCTGTTTCGTTACCAATGGCGATTTAAAGCATAAGTCATAAAAGCACCAAATATTCTGCAATTTCTTGCACTACAATGTAACAGCTTTTTCACCTAATATGAGTAACATTTGTTAGTTAGCCACCACGGACCACAGTAGCCTGAAAGTGATAAAGTTACTAAACAAACATCAACTCCTCCAGACAAATTCAAGTTTGCTGAAAGGAAAAATTCAAACTCAAACTGCAAACAAACAAGACATTTACTTTAAAACTGAAGTTCAATATTTAAAGCATCTCAACACTTTCTTTTCTCTGTAAAAAGACCAACAAACCTCATCAAGAAATAACGGCAGGTTTTTTTTTTTTAGCTCTAAGCGAGGACCTCCATTATGCATACGCAACACTTCCTGTCTGGGAACAGTTGTATTGATTGTAGAGGAAGGTCAATGTTTCAGCAACTGCTGCCAAACAGTCCCCACTCTCTAATAAATTTACATCATCGAAAAACTGACAGCACTTTGAGAAAGACGTTTGTGTTGTTGGATGTCAACTGGAACGAGACCAATAGGGACAGAATAGTGTGTTCACACATGCACAGAACTCCTGAAAAGGTTCCAGTTTTCTGCATGTGTAAACAATTATGGCCGAATTTTTCACTCTGACGATGCAGACTCAGGGTAAGTCGTTGTGACTTGAGCTTCTGGATTTAAACTGACCCTGTTTTTAAGTTGGCATCAGGAGGAGACTGGGGGGAGACAAGACCCCTGGTTACTTATATAAGAAAACCTGACACACCATGCTAAAAGTGTTCAGCACTGTAAAAGTCTGTGCAGCTTTGCACTGTCACTGTCAGCCCGGTCAACTCAAAGCTGGAGAAACTACAGTATCAAGGTGTCTGTATTTAATGTGATCAAACAATAACAGATGTGCAAAGAGGGCCAAACACCAAGTATACACACAAAGCAAAGAATGCGTGAACTAAATGCACCTTCTGCAGGAACTCTATCCTTATTCAATGTTGCACTTTAGATTTAACCTCTATCCTACTTAAAAGTATAATACATATATTGGGTGCTCTATTGTTTTTAATTACCAAAATTGCAAATACATTGGCAGCAATTGTGTGCAAAAAGGTTGCCATTGTATTTGTGCAATTTATAACGGTTCACAGCTGTCAACTCCCCTGCTCTATGTCGGTTTTTAAAAGACATAAACGTAACTATTGTATTTCTATGAGAAACAAAGGACTTGATTAACACCAGTATTGGTAGAGCTGTGAACAGGAATGGACCCCCACTACTATCTCTCGTTATCTTGTGGTTTCTGTACTTTTCGATACCCTCTGTTATTAAAAACATCATTATATCTTTTTGAAACCTGTGTTGTTGAAAAGTGTTGTTAACTATTCAGTATCGCATAAAGAAAACAGAAAAAAGCAGTTCGTATGTACTTTTTTTGTTATCTGTCGAGCTGAGACTTATAAATAATCTGTGTGTACGGTATGTGACTCCTGCTGATTGACCAAAATGCAGTGGGCGGCACATGTCATGCCAAGCCCCTATCAGAATAAAAATAAAAATGTTGAAATTAAACATTAGGATATAGCCAGAAGATTGACCATTTAATCAAATGGTCAGGATTAAGTGGAAATGAATGAATAAATGAACATTTAGCATAAGGCCATTACATTTTTAACTCAAATAGGAGCGCTGACTCACTGAGCTACAGTTGAATGATAAAAAGAGTGGAGGATTTTACGATAACCGCAACCTACAAACACACACATTGTATATTCCTTCTGAGCAGACTAGAGTGCCTTCAGCGGCAGGCTGACAGCCAACAAACACAGCAGTTTATTTTCCTGCTGTTGCTATAGAAACAACTAGGCTGCCAAAGCTGTATTCTGTAACTTCCACTCAATTTTTCTGTGTTTCAATTTTTTATGTGTTTTAAGGTATAAAACAATACTACTGAGCTTTCTAAACACACAAAAATGAAAGTTTGTGAATGAATGGTTTTACTTTCACTCTGACATGGCCTGTGGGTGTGTTTGCATGTTTGTAGTGGAGAATCTGGTTGCACAACAACCCAGACAAAGCACACGGTGGGGTTGGAGCATTGTTGTAGAAACATAAATATCAGGTTGGCCTCTCTTAATGTTTATTTTGTATCTCTGTCTGTAGCGCAAGTTAATTATAGAACAAATACACAAATGCCCTTTCTCTCTTCCTCTAACACTATAATTTGAAGGCTGCGTTTGGCAAGCAATCGATCTAATGAAGGGTGATGCTGATGCTGTGATAATAGCGGGTATTTGTGTATCAATTGCTCCTCGGAATGAGCTTTGTCTGCAGCCTGAGTGTACTCACAGACCTCCTGCACACACAAGGCTGGCTTCATGGTGTTAGGGAAATAAAGACAGTAATAAATAAACAACAACAACAAGTGCTATCTACGTAACAATTATGAAGTTGAGGACTTGAATTCCCTTAAAGGGGTCATATTATGCTTTTTCTGGTTTTATATGCCCTTTAGTGTGTTTTCCAAGTGTCCTGTGCATGTTTAGGCACATCTATTTGCAAAAATTCAAAGTCCGCGGAAACGCAGCTTCTCCTACGTCCTCCTGTTAGCTGTAGCATTAGCTGCATGTAACGCTCGGTTCTAGCCCCCCTCGAAAAGAAAATTGCCACTGTGACGTCTTGTCAGTGTGAGATCACTGATCTAAGCCCATTGGCTCGTTGTGGCAAGCCCAGCAGCTCATGTTGCACGCCCGTTAACTTCTGTAGCACGCCCACAATATGCCGTAGCCTGCGGTAGCACAGTAGTGCTAAGGTGCTGATGTTTTTGCTCTCCTCGGAGCCAAAGTGGCTGCATTCCCAATATGGTAAAAGGGGCGTGACATTTCCAAGAACCGTGCTGAGCGACTGACCAATTACGGCAGAGCCGACAGGCCGACCAATCAGATCCGACTTGGCACACGTGGGGACTCTGAACGTGGGCACTTCAGAGCCTTAGAGAGAGTCAGAAGCGAGCCGGTGCATGGAGCGGCAGTTCATGAAAACAGACACTTTTTTAGAACTTTAGCTATTGTGAACATACTTTAGTAGGTACATAGATTAAATATACAAACCCCAAAAAGGGCATAATATGACCTCTTTAAGGCCCTGACACACCAAGCAGAGAACTAGTGGTGACTGTGGCATCGCCTCACGTCGCCCTTTGTCTTGGCCAAAAAGTTGCACTACAACACACCGCAAAGACTGCAGCCAACGG